ACTAGCTCTTCAACAAGAAATTTTTATAATCTAACATGACTATTGATGCCTTTTTTGTCATAAACATTCTATATTTAATTCAATATCATTTAGGGCCCCAATTTTCGTAAGTTTTTAGTTATACTGACTGTCTCGACAAAGCAATGATAAATACCGGCCTCAATAGCCACTGACTGTCGTCGACCAACGTTGTCGGCCTTCACGAGTTCAAGTGTAAGTTTAGATTTGATCTCGTATGAATTGTATATTACACCAGCGTGAAATGATCTAATTTAATTCTAACTTTGTCCTACTCATGTACTCTTAAGTATGACATTGAATCAATCATAACTAAAGGCTAATAAATTTTAAGAATGCTCTCTAAGATATTTCAGCTATATTCTGAGTGTCCATTATTTCTCTAGCGAGCGTCCAACTTAAAATTTTCTTTATCATTTGTTACACATTCATCCAATTCTTTGCATAATATTACAAAAGTACACCAAAATATGATTTGATGATTTAACTTCAATTTTTACAAATATATCATTTTCGCGAATGCATGAAAAGATGTATTACACCGCTTGAAAATTAAAATAATGATATGTTTTATGTCATAAAAAAGATTTTGGTGGTGGAAATGTAAAAAAGCAAAGTACAAGTATTTGATATGTAAATGATTTTTAAGTGGTCATTTCCCATCTTTAAGCTCATTCAAATGGAACAAAACCTACTTTCATTTTTTTGGAAATTACATTTTTATCTTTATATTTATATGTTTATGAATAACAGCGCAAACATGAACAACCAGCCAGAGGTGAAATACACTGTAATTCCCGAGGCTTCTGATGAATTTACGCATGTACCAAAGGTTGAGTTGATCTGCAAGGCAAATTAACAGCACAATGATTAAATTACTTTATAATATAGTCATAATTCAAATATAATCTGTAAGACTTACCCTGCAATTAGCTACATTGTCACATCCACAAACCATGTGACCATTTGCAATATCTACTGCCTCATATGCCCCCCCTGCATTACTCGTCTGAATTTTACAGAAAATAATAAATAAAATAAAATAATATCATTAAAAAACTTGATTATAAAAATAAAATGAAGTTATAGGTATTGCATTTGTAAATTTAGTATTAATATATATATACATGTGTCACGTTTTTAGATCAATTGGTAGATCATGGGCTTTGTTCCTAATAAGTTCTCTCTAATTTATAGTTCAAATCTTTCCTTGCCTATGGGATTGGTACTCGAATGGTTATGCGCAATAAGGGTGGTCGGGGCTTATCTAATAGCCTCCGGCCATTCTTTATATTTTGAGGTGATATGAAAGATATAAGGCTTAGAAATGTAAATACATGAGAAATTGGTGCTATATATGTAAATGTTTTTTTATTTACTAATAGTCCTAAATTTGTAATAGGAATACCATGTAAAAATCAACGGCGATGAAATTAGGCCATCGATTGGCTGAAAAGCTGCGAAAACTTTGGAGCATCGAAATGAGAGGATCTGAATTTTGAACGCAGGCAGCGGTGCTGTTTGGATCCGTTGGGAAGAAGTTCATCAGAACAAGTGATTTCGACGTCGCGTTCAGCGGTGACGACTCCCCCCTGCTGCTAATTGACTTGCTATTCATCCCCTCATCTCCATCTGCTCATTCACAAACAATTATTACTAACTTACATCTGAATTTTTTTTCTCAATTTAAATGTAAATTCAGACAAACATGAAAAAGTAAGAGTGTAAAATTAGCCGCTCAACTAAATCTCAGTTGTGAATCCGATTGAGAGACGGATTTAATTGACTTAATGAGAATGAAAGACGTATTACCGGGTCGCTTCGTTCTTGTCCTCTTTCGTCACCAAAATATGCCTATTGAATTTACCGGATTGAATCATAATTGCATCAAACACGACTAACTCCTATTCAGCATAAATCATGGATGTTGTCAAACACCCGCTAAGAGTCTAAAGATCTTTTTTCGGAATAGATTTAATGCTCGATAGATGAAATTTAATTTTAGTAGTAAAGGTCTAGTGATGGGTTCTAAAAATGGCTGATCAAAATGATTAAAATGAGCTAACGTTTTAGATATCTCGGGTCTATTCTTCAAATGATGAGGGGAATTTTATTAATAGAATTCAAGTTGGATGGTCGCAATGGAGGAATGCATCAAAGACCTATTGTGTGATAGAAAAGTACGGCTCATACTAAAATGGAAAATTTTATTGGTGGTGAGACTCACTATGTTTTATGGCGCAAAATATTAACTCTAGTGTTGCTTAGATTAGAATGCTCTGGTGGATGAGTGGCTTTACACTTCTAAATAAAATGCAAAACGAATATATCTGTGAAAGGGTTGGAGTAGCTCTAGCAACAGTCAAGGTTACAAAGATTCAACTTAGACAACTTGGTCACATTAAATATCAAACCATCTAACGACCCAGTTGGAGAGTAGATGTTTCAGATTTAATTTATGTTAAGAAAAATAGAGATAGACCTAAAAAAACTTAGTCTTATTGTACGGACAATGAAGAAAAAAGATTCATGTAGCGAAGAAGGATGTTAGCGTGGATCCCACCACGTCATCGTGCAGGTGGTGTCGTGCGATCCACACCATTTTCTAAACATACATTGTAGAGACGTAATATTTTGTCAATCCAGCAACCCCGCTTAATATGAAAAAAGGCTTATTGTTGTTGTTGTTGTACTCACACTGGCTTTCAACCAAGTAGTTCCACTGATAAGCTATTCCCTCCTTGTATTCCTTCTCCTTCTTCGAAGTGAAGACCAAGAGCCTCTGATTCTTACTTATCATCTCGCTCAGTAAAGGCCAGTCTTCGCCATTTTTGGGCATCCCTGATGTGGGGAAGAAGTACTTATCTAAGCCTGAAGCATTGAACACTCGTGTTAAGCCATGAGGAGACTCCACATAGTCTTCAATGAATATGGTGATGACTTCTGAAGGATTATTTCTCAGGAATCGTTCTATCTCTTTTAGAACATTGATGGCTGGTTGCTGAAGAAAATTTGAAATAAAATTAGGGGCATTTTACATATATACCACATGATTTCTTATGCATTTACATATTTACCTAACACCAAAACATCCATATTTACATACATATCACATAAAAATATCATTATTACTTCTTTTTTGGAAGTAAAATACACACCTTTTCTTGCATAAAATTATTAAACAAAATTATTATATTTCTAAATATGAAATTTAGGTGTTCATGGAATTTAAAATTTATGCATGTAAATAATAAAGTTTATTATTTCTCACTCACATAGGCAATTTAGTAATTGTCCGGTTCAGCCCATGGTCAGATGTGTAAATATATAAGGATTGTGTGGTATTACGCAAGTTTTTTATAAAATTGGTCAGCTTAGAATTACAATTACAGTATATTTAATTAAAAATTTAATTTTAATTAATTATATATTAGTTAGTAAGTCAAATTAAGAGAGAGAAAGTATGATGAGAGAGACTTACAAAGGCGGTGAAGTTAAAACAAGTGGCGTCAATGGAGTGGCACTGCCAAATATCATTTTGGAAGTCATACATATCCACCATCAGACCTCTCACGCCATTCTGCATCCTCATGGAAACCATTAATATTATCCAATATTTTTTAAGGATAATTACTTATATACCCCCCAAAATTTATGTATTTATAAAGCTACCATTCATTCCTTTTTTTTTCTTCCCATTCTCTTTAAACTGTTGAACCAATGTATTTACAAATGTATTAAAATATATATTTATAATTAATTTTCTTAGATTACTCGAACCCGTGGCCCCCCGTGATCTTACAAACGCTGGCAATTAACGAGCCAAAGTGGCGTCACGGGTTCGAGTCACTCAGTATCTTAATATTACTTAAAAAATATTACAATCACTAGCTACTAAAAGATGCAATATACCTTTAATGCATACTTTCATGACGCTCATGTTTTATAAGTGTAAATATCAAATTTTGGGTATGGGATATGTAAATATATAAGAATAGGTGGTATTTATGCAAATTTCCCAATAATAAAAGAGAGAAAAAGGCTTGCTTACATTAAGTTGGGCGGTGATGGAATCCTCCTGATTGGTTTGTGCAAGCAAGATGGATCCGAAGGCTGGTTTTGCTCCAGAAATAGCGTACGAGTTGTGGGTAGTTAGCCATGAGTATTTGTTAAAAGGTAAATTTTTTCCCTAAATTAAAAATCAAAATTAATTAGTGTTTCTTAATTAAATCCACTAATATATCTTTTTTTTCTTTTTTTATTGCGATAAAATATATAATTATTTAACTTTAATTAAAAAAATATTATAAAATTAATCAGTACGATTAATTAATATTTAATAACATAAATTTAGAAAATCTTATCAAAACTCAAACCTTTTAGCCTCTTTAATATTATTTAAACTAATATTTCAGTATTTTTAAGATGTATTTCGACATCATATAAATACTTTTAATTATTTTAATTGGATAGCCTCAATATATATATATATATATATATATATTTTACTTTTAAAGAAACGGCAGTCGAACCCCATAACTCGAGAAATTATTGCATACGGACACCGCATGCATCTCTGCATGCGGTGTCCGATCGTAACCGTAGATCACGGTGATCTACGGTCAGGATTATTTCAGTTTTTTTTTTTTAAAAAAATTTAGCTGGGGCCCACCGAAATACATACTGTAAGTCATGATTTACGGTCAAGATCGGACACCGCACGCAATTCGTATGAAATAATTTTTCCCAGAACTAAGGGAGATTGTTGAGATTTTAGAATAAATTGAAATATACGAAATTGCAAAAGCTAGATAGTAATTATATTTTTATTTGATCATAATTATACTATAAAATAATTACAAAAAATAAAAAGATATAGGGAGAATTTTTCCTTGCCATCAACTTAGGATCCATCGGTGCAATTGCTCTGGTGCACTGAGAGCTGCAAGTGCTACAATAGAGGCCTCTCCCGCAGTTCTCACCAGTTGTGCATCCATCCCCTTCCTGCTTTAAGATTACCGCCCCTTTATCTCTTATCAGAAGCATGACAAGAAGAAGAAGAAGAAGAAGAAGAAGAGTAAGAGGAAGAGGAAGAAGAAGAACCATCAATGCTTTGCAGAGTAGAGCTGAGTTGATTAGCAGCAACAGAAGTGTACGGAGCTTCTTATGGTTTACAGCAAACTGTAGAGAGAGAGAGAGAGAGAGAGGAGAGATAGCTGAGAAAATAGGAAGAGAAATTAAGAGAAGGAAAAACAGCAAACCTTCATCTTTGTTTTATTCCCTTTTTCTCCCGTCTTCTCTGCGCCTGCGCTGAAACGGGAAGAAGGCGAGAAGATATGGGACATATGGCTTCCCAACAGGATTGGGAAACTATATACTCTTTTTGGAGAATAAAACGACGGCTAATTCAAAGCTCTATTATGGCTTTAAAGTTATAGACCGGTCATTATGAACGCTTCAGTATGGAACTGGGATTAAACCGATTAAAATCTGGATTGAACCGGCCAAACGGTTAAACCGTTTGAATGACTGGTCTTGTTTTTAAAGAGCCAATTGGTTAATTCACATGTTATTTAATTTTAGCTTTTTAATTTAGATCTATGGCCTGAAATAACATATAAAAATTAAATTTTGAGAATATATGATGCCTTAATTTGTTTTTTATTTAGACTATTGCTCTAAATAAATCATTCGGTTCAACTGCTGGTCTAACTTCAGTTGCACCATTTAACCTCGACTTTTCTTTCTTCCGCTTCGACGTCCGGTTCGATAAAGTCTCTTGTCATTTACATCAGACTGCTTTAGTCTCGAAGTCTATAGAAGTGTAAAAATAATCATTGACACTTTAAATTGGGGCTAAAATAATCCTAATTGAATACAATTAAAGCTCAATTTTAAACTAATTTAAGATTATTTTGGCATTTCTATAAACTTTGAAATTAAAACGACCCATCATCGAGTGTTTTTTTTAAAAGCTGTTTCAAAATAATTATAGAAAAAATAAATCTTTTCAAGTTAACGGTTAGAAGTGAATGCTTTTAAATAAGTATTAGAATCAAACAAAATTATAAAAATAATTTATGATATTCTTTAAATAACAGAGTTTTAAAAATTTATTCCAAACGATGCCGAAATTTCAGTAGAATACGCATTCTAATAAACTAGAGTGCGTTTTAAAATAGTGCTTGAAATGCTGCATAGTCTTTAGAATAAAATTTGGGGCTAATTCAAAACTTTATTGAGTAAAGTCATGCCCAAATTCCGGGGCAGTTCTAGTTGCCAAAATAACCTTCAACTCTTTAAATTGAGGTTGAAATAGTTCTAATTATGTAAGAAAATATTTCGTTCGGATACAGCGTTTCATGATGGCCAACCACCGGGCACCACGTTGTCATACGCCTCATCGGCGGGAGATGTGGCGGTCAGTAGTTGGTCGTCCGGACGTGCAGACGTCTGAACGAAATATTTTTACAATTATGTTCTGTGAGCACACATCCAGCCGTTATCCAGATATGTGATTAGCCACACGTAATAATCTTTCCTATTAAGGAGCTCAATTTTAAAATAGTCGTGACTACTTTGACACTTTTATAAACTCGTGAACTATTTCGAGTGTAGGGTTATAGAAAAAAACAAGATAGTTTTTAGTCGTTGAATTAATGTGAGGAAAACTCTGACCAAAGAGATATACATATAAGACAAGGAATGCCTTCAATAACAATATCATCGCCTGCAAAGAAAGCTCCATATGGTCTATTTAACACCATTTGGGCTACCAAAACAATAATTAATGTATAATAAGAGAATCAAAAGTGTTATTTGATGGAATGCTTGCCAAAAGAATTTATTTATTTTTGTGAATTTACATACACAATACCTAATTTTTATATATTTACTTATCTCACACCTAAACTCATTTTTACAAATCAAGCACATGACCTACCCTTTTCACCACTTTGCAACTAGTGGTGTAAATGAGCCAAACACGAGCGAGCCCAAGCTCAGCTAGTATTCGGTTTGTTTATATTTCGAGCTCAGAAAGTGTGTTCGTGTTCGGCTCGTTTGCTTAACGAGCGGAACACTAGTCGTTCATGAACAAAAAGTCATTTTGACAACACTAATAACGTAGCCATAAGATGTTAAAGATTGAGACAAGATTTAAAACATCATTTGAATCTAATTTAATAATTTTTACTATATTTTCTTCATTAATATTTTTAATTGATTATAAATCTTTGCAGCCTTGTAGTCACGGTCATTAATTTTTTTAAAAATATTACTCATCAAAGATATATATATATATATATATATAATTGATTAGTAGTATTTCGAGCCAAAATGAGCCGACACGAACGAACAAATATTGGTTCATGTTGTTCGTGTTGGCTCGTTAACTTAGCGAACGAGCCGAACGCGAGCTTCTTAGCGAACTGAACACGAGCTGTTCATGAACAACGAGCCGTTTTGACAGCCCTATTCGCAACCATGAAAAACGAGGGTTTGGGTATGAGATGGTAAATGCACAAGATTTGGTATGAAAATACTTATTTTATTTTTGAAAAATTAATAATAGTAGTATTTTTATTTGATATGAAAGAGTTGAGTGATACAAATATAAAAATTAAAAGCTTAAGTGTTAGATATGTAAATATTGGAGAATTTGTTGGCATGTGTGTAAATAAATGAACTTTTCTATATATTATTAAAATTATTATGTGCAAGAAGAGATTTATGCAATTCTTGAGATGTGGTGGTTTTATGCTGTCTCCTAATAAAATCTATTCACACATAAAGGTTTTATAAGAGATAAATTTTTATATAAAAACCCCTTTGGAGGGGAAAAATTGTTTGGCAATATCTAATTGCAAAAATCCACTATTTATAGTGTAAATGTAATTCATGTTTTTTGCAAGGAAACAATATAGAAGAGAAATGATCAATTTTATTTAGATTCATAGATCCCTATTTTAGGATATGTATCATAAATCATTATTTTTTGTGTATATATCTACGATAACTTTACTTCTTTGCGTTTCTCGTATCCCAACATGTCGGTTGACATCAATTGTATAAGGCATCCTAGGTGAGGAGTTTAAATCCCCTCTGACACAGTTGATCTTAAAGAGGAGGTAATCAAATTGTTAGACACAATATGGGTGATTGGAGGCTCACATAATAGCGTCTAGCCATTCCTTTAAAATAAATAAATAAATAAATAAAAATGATAACTTTACTTCTATGCTTTCTCTCTCTTATACTCATAGCACCCGCAAAGAAGCAATGTTACCAATATGAATGGATTCTCGTGTGAGGTTTAAGGTAACAAGGTTCATGGAGGAAATCTATACTCATTGTGCTTTGGAAGCTATATGAAATATCTTTGAGCTTATGATTTTATGTATTTGAAGGAAATCTATACCCTTTCATATGCCCACTTGATAACAAGGTTCATGGAGGCTTTGAGATTTCATTGATGCACTGAGAAGAAGGCCTAATTAAGCTATGTTTGGTTGTGAGATTATTTATAGAGCATCTTCTTCATTTTTACTCTGAAGGATTTGTTTAAAGAAATGATCAGAATATTCATTCTAATTTTATATCATGATTATGAATGATATATATGTATATTGTGGTTTAAATCGTCCATACTCTCCCATAAATGCATGCCTAGTTAAAATCGAATCATATATATCATAGTACCATTTATTGTACGTGTAGTCTTTCCTTTTTATGTTTTCTTAATGTTACATCATTGTTGATCTTAAGCGACACTTTTGCTAATGAGGTGAGAGTTGTCTCATCACTTTGGTTGGTAAATGGTTGATGAAGTATATTATTGTATGAATTGTTTTAAGCCAAAGTAAAGAAGGAACATTGGAATCTGCCATTAGAGCCTGTGTTGTGTAATATATGTCGATGCTAGCGTTCAGCGATACAATTTTGCTGCGAAAGGTAAAGACAACTAAATTTGTGAATGATGTCATTCTCTATAAGGAAACATTTAAAGTGATTACTAGTATACCCGATGCCATTAAACCTTTATCTTTTAATTGAATTGAAGTTCAACTTCTTATTTGAACTTGAGAAAATGTTGACACAATCAACACTTAAAAAATTCTCATTTTTGCCATTAGAGCCTGTGTTGTGTTATATGTCGATGCTAGAATTCAGCGATACAATTTTGTTGTGAAAGGTAAAGACAACTCGATTTGTGAATGATGTCATTCTCTATAAGGAAACATTTTTAAAGTGATTACTAGTATACCCGATGCCATTAAACCTTTATCTTTTAATTGAATTGAAGTTCAACTTCTTATTTGAACTTGAGAAAATGTTGACACAATCAACACTTAAAAAATTCTCATTTTAATTTCAAAATTTAAATGAAATTTGTGATTATTATTTATTTAAATTCATGTTCACTTTTATATCAATAACACTAGTTCAATTTCTTTAATTTATTAGGCAGTTTTGATGAAACTTTTGCATTTAATATTATTAAAAAAATATTTTTAACATTAAATATTATTGTATAGATTTATATTTTGCTAGTCAATCTACGATCAATGAGCTCCATCGATTAAAAATGAACTTATCAGGCCGGGCAAATTCCAACGGCCCAATTACTATAAAAGCTTCTACGCCACTTCACTCGTCACCATGAGCCCATCCAACACCCGCCTCCCATGGCTCCTCCTCTCTCCCCCATGCCGGCAACCCCAACTCGCCGCCGGACGGAACTCCGGCCGCCGCGGCGGGTTTCCACCAATCTCCCAAATGCCAGCATCATCCGCGCCACTGCAGACCCTAACTCCAACCCGAAACAAGTTCTTTCTCTCTTCACTTCCGCTGTGCGGCAGCGCGGCTTCCGGCACGAACTCCCCACCTACGTATCCCTCCTCCCCTACCTTGTTCACCATGGCCGAATTCGTGAGACGGAGCTCCTCCTCCGCCGCCTACCCGTCGCCGGACTTAGCCCCGGCCCCTCCCTCCTCTTCCCCCTCGCTTCCTCCGCACTAGCCGCAGGTATCCCTCCAGATTCTGCCGCCAGATTGCTTCTCTCCGCCTCTCCCTCCGCCTCCGCTTTCTCCTCTCTCATCGGCTTCATCATCCGCTCCAATCATCTAAGCCTCGCACGTTCCCTGCTCCTCTTCGCTGCACCCGATAACCTAGGGTTTCGAATTAAGAATCGCCATTTCGCCGGACTTATACGCAGGTTCTGCCGCCGGGGGTACGTCGAGGAGGCGGAGGAGCTGGTGGCGGAAATGGGACGAAGGGGCGTGTTGGCCGATGTTGAGATTTGGAATTTTCTGCTCTTAACCGTTTGTGACAATCGAAGCGTTGATGATGGGTTTCAGGTTTATCTGGCAATGACGGAGATGGGGGTTTTGCCGGATGTGATCAGTTTCTCGACGCTGATGGGGAGGATGGGGATGGAAGGGAAGGTTTTTGGGTGTAATTCTCTCTTTGGGAGAATGTTGGTGATGGGTGTTCTTCCTGATTTGGTTTTTTACAGGTTGCTTATCAGGATATACTGCAACAATTGCTTATTGGGTGATGCTGTTAGAGTTCTCAGAGCAATGAAGATTGATGGGTTTCTGGAGGATGGAGGAGTTGGGAAGAAGAATGTTTGGGAATGTGGTGGGGAGATTGACGGGGTGGCTTCATGTGCTGATTCTTTTAAAGATTTGAGTGGAATGCATGTAAATATGAATATTTAGCTGTTAGATTTGCAAATACATCAAAATTATGTGGTATGTGTGTAAATGCCACCTTAAATCTATGCAAGCTTGGGCCAATGTTTGTCACTATCAACTGAGCAAATACTGTGTTGCACATAATATTTAATTGTTGCAGACATTAGATTTTTTATGTGCAATAAGAGAAAGAAGTTAAAATGAGAAGGTCTCTAAAAGAACAAGGGAACCATTAAACTTGCTTACAATATTACTCTGTATTACATTTTGGAAAAAGCTCAAAGCAAGGGAACCATTAAACTTGCTTACAGTATTACTCTGTATTACATTTTGGAAAAAGCTCAAAGTATAACTCTACTTCCATCTCCCTAAGCTCAAAGTACAATTCTACTTCTCTGCTTCCCATATTCAATCAAACTACCTACCACCATGTCTCAGATAATCTGCACAGCCCATAGCTTTTTATATATTTACACAGTGGCTTTATATAGATACTGCATTAGAAACTGTAATGTAAATAGTGTACCTGCCCTATTGCATACCTTCATGGCTGGATTAAGAAGTTCTTATCTGAGAGAAACCATTCTTGTTTACTCCTTGGTCTTCTTAACATTAGCTCAGAACTTTATTCTCTGGTCAAAAAAATTGAATTTTAAAACCAGTGATTCTTCTGATTCTAATTCCATTATTATAGAAACCCTGCATTTTATTACACCATTATACTTTGATCCTTCTCAGTGCTGCATAAGCCAGAATTCTGTAACCGAAAAACATGATCACCAATGCTGCCATGCTTGTCATTACACTAACTTGCCCTTCTACCTCAGCCTCCCTATCGCCAGTTATGTCATGGTTATGTGATAAAGCTCTGTAGAAACTAATCTCATCTTCTCTATATTGCACTCCGATTAATAGCCTGAAGCAATAGAAAGTAAACGATGTATATTTCAACCATTTCATGCAGATTGGAACTTTCTGTACATAAAATCCTCCAGTGAGAAGAAAAGCGAGCATTGTTATGGTAACAATTGTCGATGCCTGCTTTGCATTCATTATAGCAGCTCCAATCACCAGCCCTAGGCCCTGCGCCACAAGCACATAGCCTAAGATCACCACCATGGTTAACAAGAAAGCTCCAAGCTCGGGCCGAAGCGAAGCCATCCAATAGATGATGAGGACGAAGATGGCGGGCAAAACGAGCTCCATCGGGAGATCGCCCACCATCCGAGCCATGAAATATGACGAGAGGGGATACATTCCTGATGCGCGTTCCTTGTTGACAATCACCCTTTCCTGAGGGAAAGTGAACACTGCATTGAAGGAGGCGAAGACGCCCCAGAAGATGGAGATGAAGAAGAGCAATCCGAGCCGGTCCTGCACGTCGTGAATGCTTGAGTGCCACCACATTAAACCGGCAAGAAATGCGGCAGCCATGACTTGGAAGACGCGGAGTGAGTTGAAGGTCTCATGCCGCCTTTCCCTGAGGCTGCGCCGAAGGAGTATGGAGAATTGTTTGAACCAGCTGATTGTAGAGAAGTCTTTTGTTTCCTTTTTGCCTGTCCTTTGGCTTCCTGGTTGGTTGAGATGATGATCATAAGTTCAGTGAAAGCTCTTATTGCAGGATATGAGTTTGAATTATGCGCATCAAAAATAGCACCATTATCACTTTTTAAAATTGAAATACATCTTTTCACACATAAGTTTGAAGCAGCATCAAATGATATATATGTAAATATGATAGTTTATGTTTGAGATATGTAAATACATAAGTTGAGTGATTAGATTAGATGGTGAAATACCTATTCTCAAAGCTTCAGCTGAAGCCATTGAGGCAGCGATGGAAGAATTCACTGAGGCTTTCACCTTAGGGGCTAAGACTTTGTTGTAGGAGGATATGAGAGATTGTTTGACTGTAGCCTTGTCTGCTGCGTCTGCCTGGTGATCTGTTCTGGTTACTCCTGCATCAAATATAATTAGTATCAGAAAACAGTTCAAGGATAAAGCTATTGAACTATTTCAAATTTAAGAAAATTTACTTGCATATCTAATTTAGGAAAATTTACATACATTTCTAGCACCTATGCTTTATTTTTTTACATATACGACGCCTTATTTCACTTAATGAAAGATTTGGGTGGTGTGAAATGTAAAAAGTATATGTAAATATGTAGGAATTGGGTGGAATGTGTGTGAATGTTCTCAAATTTCTCCCTTTTATGTCAATTTGCTTTTTTTTTTCTTTTTATCATATGGAAGCAAAAGAGAGAAAGAATATCGGAAAGGGTGGATGATGTATGATTATTTTGCTGTAGTGGGCGAGGAAATGCCTCCGTGGTCATCAACCTTTTGTAAAGCAGCTAGAACAAAAGTGCGCACAAAGCGAAAGCGCTTATTCGGAAAGGCCGCGGAGCGAGCGACGTGTGTGTAATAGGTTGCCGGCCATTCTTCCCCTCTACATGAGCACTAGGCCAGGTGTCTTCTCTTTAGATTAAAGTGGTTAAGATCAGCGGATCCTAAATAAAATTCAATCATGATGAGACCAAGTTGTTCCATTTGCTATTTTAATAAATTATTTGCGTATTATGGAAGAACTTTAAATCTCATGTTCATAAAGTTTTGATCATTATATTCTATCACAATTTTTTTAGCTTATATATTATAAAAATCTTATGAACTTTATAAGACTAGTTTGTGTGTGTGTGTGCGCGTGCAACGCCATTGATTAGTAGAGTTTGTAAGACTCTGGCAGTCACTAGTTCGAGTCTTGCTTTGAATTAGTCACATCGGATTGGTTGGCATGAAAATATGTGGAGTGTTGAAGGTCTCTAGAGTTATATCAAAAATATATAATTAAAGATGAAATCCTTTTAAAGTTTAATCTGTTTTCCTCGATATTCAACTAAAATTCTTAACTTGGATCAAATTACTAAAAACGGTTAAAATTAAAATTAATCCATTTCAGCTGAACATAAAACATAAAACTTATTAAATCATAAATGGTTAAAAGAAAAGCGATTTACTACCCTGATGCCCATAAATTGATTTTCTGCTTAAGTGCGTGTTATTAACTTTATAATATTTTAGAACGACCTATAAACCATAAAGCACGTGATTTAAACAAATTCATACTTTTGAAGCAACAATTACCTTTTTCAGTTATTTAATCCGAGACTTCCGCGATAATATGGTAAATCTTTTTCACCTAAGCCACCTTAGTGGGGTCAAAGGGCTAATTAATTTAAAATTTCTCTCGTGATGGCATGACTACGTCCATGTCCAAATTCGACTTTTTTTTATATATTATTATTATTATGAGGTGGTTTTCGGAATTATTATTATCATCGTATAAACAAATTTCGCTCGCCTTAAGAGTCAAGATTAGGTCAACCGGTCCTACCAGCCGCTTCGGTCAAGGAGGCCGACCCATCAACTTGACCAATTAGGGAAGCATACAAATCAGCCCATGACCCTTTACTAGATCTAACCATGAGTTCTTATAAAAAACCAAAATCAACTTTTTCAACTAACCTAACTGCTAGATGAAAGTATGCTCAAACACACTAAAGATTGACAACCTAGGAGAACACATATAATATTTTATTTTATTCTATGAGGCACTATACACTATGTACTTTATATTTGTGGTGTAATATTATATGTAACATGTCAAATCTACAATTAGAGAGCGTGATTATAGAACGTAGGATGACTGAAAAATGAGAGGAACAAAAGGAGAGAAATTTTGAGATAATATTATAATAATCATTTCTTTTTTATATCAATAAAATTCTAAAGAGATATCTCCAACTTTTCTTTTCACCTTTTTTTTCTTTTCATTTAATTCCTTATCTCTATTCTCCTTTTAGTGCTATCTCCTCTAAGATAACTCTTCCTTAGACGGTGTGTGCTCATGGAAATTAAAAAATTCTATATGCGTATCGGGATATGAAGAGTTCAATTATTTTGCAATTTTATTTTAGAATGTTTCGTGCCTAAATTTAAGTTTGATGTGCAGAAATTGAATCTTAAGATCTTGAAAATTATTTTCAGAAAAAAAGGGTTGATAAATAAGTTGAAGTCATCTATTCCTTCATGATAATTTCAAAGCTTATATGAGAAATATTTGGTTCTCAATATCTTAAACAATTATTTCTTTGAAGATGATGTGCCATAAAATCATTAGATTAATTTTAGAATAATGCAAAACAATAAAATAACAATAATCAAAACAATTTGTACACTCACTTTTAAATATATTTAATTGATTTAATATCCTTGGTAATCAATGTTGACAAATTATATGGGTAATATTATCCTTATTAAAATTTTATAATGATAGCACTCATAGTTGCTGATTTTATTTTTAGATTGATGTATTATAAGTGAAATTAAATTAAAGTTTACAGTATGTTCGTCTGTGATTTAATCTAATGATTTTCTAATGGATAAATTTTGATCAAAATATACTAGATGAAATTCTTTTTACTAAATTTTATTTTGATGAAGTTTTTTTTTTATATATATAAATGCATATACTGGAACTCAACACTCACCATTGGCAAGGTCGAGCATGAAATCCGCCGGATTGACGAAAATCTCTGAGACAAATCCAATCGACGCAAAATAGTCGACCGCATCCCTTCCTCTTCCATAATAAATACATCTCCCTTCCGCCATTAACATCACCGAATCAAACATACCATAAACCCTACTCGCCGGCTGATGAATCGACGCCACCACCGCCCTTCCTTTCCTCGCCATCCCAGCCAAAGTCTCAACCATCCTCCCCGCCGCCGTGGAATCCAATCCCGATGTCGGCTCATCCACCACCACCGCACTCGGATTCACCAACATCTCATGCCCAATCGCCACCCTCTTCCTCTCCCCTCCCGAAACGCCTTTCACAACCGTCTCCCCGCACCCTTTCAACCCTAACTCCGCCATGACCCCTTCCACCGATTCCCTCACACGATCACCTGGAAGCCTCAGCATCGCGCAATAGGTAAGCGTTTCGCGAACGGTGAGATGCGGGTACAGGACATCGTCCTGCGGAACGAATCCGATCCGGCGGAAGACTGAGCGGGTGGCCTTACGCCCGTTGGCGATGATGGATCCGCCGGAAGGGATGTTTCGACCGGCCAGGATAGTGAGGAAGGTGGATTTCCCGCTGCCGGATGGCCCGAGGACGGCGAGAAGTTCGCCGGCGGCGGCGATGCCTGTGATTCCTTCGAGGATTGATCGTTCTTGCGCGGAAGGAGGAGGGGGAGATGAAAGGATTGCGGTTAGGCGGATACCGGCAGTATTGTTGGTGGTGAGCTTCACGCGATAGCAGACGTCGACGAAATGCAGAGAAAGGGGATGAGGGGATGACAGATCGGAGGGAAGGGATCGATCCGAGCTTCGATTTCTAGCTGGATTGGGCAATTGTGGGGTTGTATTGGGGAAAATTAGTTGTTCAGGCGGCATTTCTGATGAAAGCGGAGGTCGAGAGAGGGATTCTTGCAAGTGGAGAAGGGAAGCTGGGGATGCGGAGGGAATTTAAAGAAGCGATGTAGCCATGAGATAGAGAGAGAGGAGTGGCGGGAAAGGGATGGTACCCGTGAAGTGGATGGTGGGCTCCACACACCATAGAAAGAAGAAGGTGTGCGTGGCGGTCTTAAGGTGCTAATTCGAATTTCATAATTTTAAAAATTATTCAGACAATAAAATAATTATATATATATATATATATATATATATATAATAAAAGATATTTTGTAAATAATTGAGATTTAAAATGTGACATTGGATTTTTTGTGAATATTGTCATTTGATAGGATAATGTTATTGAATAAAAAAATTGAATTATTAGCTAAATGCTACTAATTTTTTAAATATTTACAAGTATAACCTTAAAAATATGCATTGTGAATGTAGGTTGTGTTGAATTGAGGAAATATGTTATAAAATTAATCATTTTTTAGAGAAAATATTACGTTTGTCATTTGATAGCGTGTGATTGATAGTATTTTTATTGTGATCTTAATAATTATTAGATTGAAGTTACAAAACTAATCTTCTTATAAAACCAAGTATATAAATTAATGTTAAAGATTACATAACCAAAGCATTCAAAATTGTGTGTCATCTAATTTTTTTGGAAATAGTTTAGAATGTTATCATCAAAATTTGGATTTAAATAATATGGTTGAATCATTTTAGAATATATCAGCTCGTATAATTGGTGAACATATACATTCCAGCACAGATCAAGTGAAATTGGTGGAACAAAACTTAGTCATTATTAAGAGAGAGATTGAGACTTTTTTCACCAATTCTCCCATTTTTCTACTTATATTTATATGTCTTAATTGTTAGATATGGCTCATATACCAGGAATTTGGAGTCTTTTGGATTTGGAGAGGTGTGTCTCTTGAAATGAAGAGGTGTGTCTCTTGGTGTGAAGAGGTGTCTCTTGGATTAGTGGGTTGGGGGGAGTGAGGGCGTGTTTGTAAATTTATTTGTGGGTTTTATCTATAAATAAATGTGTAACACTATGAGTATGTAACTCCTCTGAAATAGTGAATTCGCCGCCTTGCTCCCGAGGATGTAGGTATATTTGTTGAACCTCGTTAAATCTCTGTGTTCGTTCTTTTGGTTTTATGTCATTTTTTGTGTTTTCTTCGCTCTAAATTTCACAACATTAATGTCTTTGTCCTCTCTTAAGAGTCTGAGGAATAAATAAAAAAACTATATTATAAGTTGTAATGTACATAACCTTATAATCATTGTTGATAAGATCTTTGACTTGTATATAAGGTGGCCAATAAATTGATATAAACAAGACAATGGAACAGAGTTCTCTTCCTTCCGACTCAAAGAGCTGTTCATCGAGCTCTGTGATGTAGCCGGGTAGTTATCAACAATCTCGATAGGATGTTTCTACCGATACATGCGAGCTTAGTAAATGAACTACGAAAATGTGAGTGAGCTCGGCTGAAAGCATAAGATTGGTGAGCCTAGTCGGATAAACTCCCATGAATATTGACGAGCTTCAAAGGCGCTACTTGCTAGGTTCTTCTAGGCTGCAAAAAGCTCTGTAGCTTGTCATCTCCAAAAGCACAGCTAATTAGTATGATTTCCTTGATCATAACTAGAATATCAGGTGCATGGTTAATGAGCTCGAGCCATTATACCCATGAGGGTCACTTAATGATTCGGCTATCTTAGTTAGGAAACTCATTTTTTAATATAAATGTATATGTATTGGCACACAATAATATTAAAAAATGAATATATAAATATATATGTATATGTATTGGCACACAATAATATTAAAAAATAAATAAACAAATAAGAAAATAGATAAATAAATAAATAAATTTCCTAGCCTTTTCTTTTTCTAGAAGAGATGGGCACGCAATAATATGGTAGGAGGTGGTGGGCAATTAATCACTATTGCTTCTAATTTTCATTTTAGTCATCATAAATTTATTTATTTTTATTAATATAAAGTTATAAGACACTTTATAATGATATAATCAGTATATCACAAATGAAAGTTGATGTGAAACTTTCTAAATCAATGAATTATTACCAAACTTGCCACTTAATAATGCTAAAAAAGTATAAATACTAAAAATATAAGACACTTTATAGTGATGTAATATATATTTAACAAATGTGATTTAACTCATTGTAAGGGTGTTCCTAGTGGAGGTAAAGAAATTGTTGGACCAACATAACATTATTTCTTAGGAAAATTTATATAATGAGACACAATTATTACGTATTTACTTATCTAACACCTAAAACTTGATATTTACATATATACCGTATATTTTGGTGTTATAAATGTATGCATGAAATATTTCACTTTCAAAAAATTAGTAATAGTTGTATTTGTTATATATTGATTAAGGCCTTGAGTGATATGTATGCCGGTGTTAAAGTTTCTTAGGAAAATTTATATAATTCCACACAATTATTAGGTATTTACTTATCTAACACCTAATACTTGATATTTACATGTATACCGTACATTTTGGTGTTATAAATGTATGCATGAAATATTTCACTTTCAAAAAATTAGTAATAGTTGTATTTGTTATATATTGATTAAGGCCTTGAGTGATATGTATGCCGGTGTTAAAAGTTTATTGGTTAAATGTGTAAATACCATATGTAAATAGATAAGAATTGTGTGGTATGTACATAAATGTGTCTT